GTGGCTCGCTACGTTGCTGGTTGTGATGTCTGCCGACGTGCCAAGGGGCCTACCGGGCGACCCCCGGCCTACTTCAGCCATTGCCAGTTCCACCGCGCCCTTGGCACACAGTTTCGTTGGACTTTGTAGTGGACTTACCCTCGTCTCGTGGCTGTACCTGCCTTCTGGTTTTCTCCGACCATTTCACCAAGATGGTGCACTGCGCTCCCTGTCCATCTGTACCCACAGCCAAGGAAACTGCTCAGCTGTACCTTCAGCATGTCTTCCGCCTGCATGGACTACCTGAGCGCGTGGTGTCCGACCGGGCGTTCAGTTCACATCCCGGTTCTGGCGAGCATTACACCAGACCCTCGGGACAGAGGTCTGCCTCTCGTCAGCCTACCACCCACAGACCGATGGCCAGACGGAACGGGCGAACGCGGTGCTGGAGCAGTACCTCCGGTGTTACTGCAGCTACCAGCAGGATGACTGGGTCGACCACCTGGCATTGGCGGAGTTCGCCTATAACAACGCGGTGAATGCGTCCACCCAGCAGACCCCGCTCCAGGCCAGTTATGGTTATCATCCACGGCTGTTTCCAGAGGTGCTGCCGGCATCCGCGGTCCCGGCGGTGACGGAGTGGCTTCAAGAGCTCCAGTCCCAGCAACAGCTTTTGGTGGAGCAACTGCACCAGGCCAAGGAAGCGTACAAAGCCCAGGCCGACCGCCACCGCCAGGTGGGGCCGGAACTTCGGGCCGGTGACCTGGTTTGGCTCTCCACTCGCCACCTCCACCCCTCTCGACCTTCGCGGAAGCTGGACGCCCGCTCACCGGCCCGCTCCCTATCGTAGACCAAATCTCTCCTGTGGCATTCCGTCTCCGGTTACCCGCAACCCTGAAGGTTCACCCGGTCTTCCACAGGTCCCTTTGAGTCCGGTGGCCCCACCCGACGAGTTCCACCAGAACCGTCCCCGACCGCAGCCAGTGTTGGTTCGGGGAGAGCCTGAGTACGAGGTGGAACGCATCCTGGACTCCCGATACCGCAGGGGAAAGCTGCAGTATCTCATTGACTGGAAGGGGTACGGACCGGAGGACCGGTCCGGGGCACCAGCGGCCAATGTCCATGCACCTGCCAGCCTCCGAGAGTTCCATGCCACGTCTCCCGGCAAGCCGGGTCCGGACCCACCGCGGAGGGGGGGGCCTGGGATGGGGGATGGTGTGATGGCCTGGGATTCCGATTCGGAGGATGAAACAGAGGAATCCCGGCCTGCACAGGAGTCCCCGCCTCCAGGGCCGGCTGAACTGGGGCAAGGCCTTGATGCTGAAGAGCCTGCACCTGTGGCAGTGCATCAGGAGCTGGCCCCAGGTGAAGCTCTTCGGGCCCCAGAGGGGCTTGATGACTCAGTGGCCACAGGTGAGCCTCCTCCAGGGCCCAGTAACCCTTCGGCCTCTCCTGATCTGCAGAGGCTTAGGGCAGAGAGGCGAAGGGAACTGGCTGCCCCCAGGAGGAGTGCTCGCCTTAAGGCCAGAGGAGGCGGGGCTCCTGGGGACCGGGACCGCCCCTGGCCTTAGAAGAGGATAAAGCCCAGTCAGCCCGGCCCCAGGTTGCGGGAGCAACGTCGTTGTTGGCTTCGGACCTTCCTGTGTTCCTGATCCCTGCTCGGCTTCCTGTTCCTGACTATCCGGTACTCCTGTTCCCTGCTCGGCCTCCTGTTCTCGACCATCCGGTGTTCCTGTTCCCTGCACAGCCTCC